CTATTCTTATTCCCTTCCTTACTTTTTCCTTATATTTAAGCTTTTCCTTTCTTTCTTTCTTTCTTTCTTTCTTTCTTTCTTTCTTTCTTTCTTTCTTTCTTTGAGATCTCCTTCCCTACATTCCGTCTTTTTTGCAACTTTCTTTCTTTCTTTCTTTCTTTCTTTCTTTCTTTCTTTCTTTCTTTCTTTTATAAACTATTCTCATTCCCTTCCTTACTTTTTCCTTATATTTAAGCTTTTTCTTTCTTTCTTTCTTTCTTTCTTTCTTTCTTTTTTCTTTTCTTTTCCCTTCCTTACTTTTTCTTTGAGATTTCCTTTTCCTTTCTTTCGTTCTTTTTTTCAACTTTTCTTTCTTTTCTTTCTTTTTTCTTTCTTTCTTTCTTTCTTTCTTTTCTTTCCCTTCTTTCCGTCTTTTTAAACTTCTTTCTTTCATTCCCTTTCTTTCTTTTTTCTTTCTTTCTATTTTTAAAACTTTTCTCTTCCTTCCTTCTTTTTTCTTTTATTTAAGCTTTTCCTTTCCTTCTTTCTTTCTTTCTTTCTTTCTTTCTTTCTACAGTAGACAAGAATGAAGACAAGTGTTACTTACAGAATCATATTATATCAATAATGTATATATTTTGTTAATTATTTTGCTATAGAAATGCATTGAAGCTCTAGACGAAACATATTGTCGGTGATCACGACAACAACTAACATATGTATATATATTTATAATTTGCATTTCAACATCCTCAAGAAAGACACGATTATATTAATATCACATTCTGAAAATATACTTCCTGTTGATCGACTTCCTTGAAATTTAATCTGTGAAAAACATTTGCAAAATTTTCGGTTATCATTCGCTTTCAGAAAATTGCATTTACAAAGAATGAAATATAATTGGCACCTCTCCGAATGATTCAGATTTTCGATGGGTTTGAAAGCTACCATTATTTTAAATTTGAAACCATGCTTACCGCTTGTCTTCCTCCCTTCTCGTTAGAATGTCGCCCTCTATAAGTAAAGTGACAATGTTTGTGGGAGGAGCAATGAACAAAAAGAAAACGATTCTTGAATTGGTTTTGAAAGTGACCTACAATTTTCCCTTATTCTCTTATTTTGTGTCATCAAATCGAGCGAAGATTAGATGATTCGAAAAAAAACAAAACAAACCTGGAATTTGCTAAAAGGTTTTAGGAGAGTTCTTCGCTTACTTAAAGAATGTTTCTTGTTTTTCGTCTTTTAGAAATTTATTATTTCATTCTTTCGTTGAGAATTTCTTTATGGAAAGCGGTTAACGAGTCGAGAAATAAACCCGGCGAACAGATTTCAAACTCTGTTCTGGCATTTCAAACGTTTTTAATATTTTAATACAATGCAATGATTAATATTCGCAAGAATCAGATTAGACAAAAATTAGTGTATTGCTGGCATGTCACGGATGGAATTTTCCAGCCCTAACAGAGTTCGCAAAGGGATGGAATATCTGTGCTCTTATAAGGCAGCAAAATACTGGAAAATCTCACAGATGAAAAAGAGACTTGAAGCGACAGAAACGTGGTTATACAGAGGGATACTGAGAATACCATGGATCGAACATATAACTAACGGCGAAATTTTAGAGAAAATAGAAACAAAACGAACACTTATACTTAATATCAGGAAGAGACATTTGAAATTGCTAGGCACATCACGAGGAAAGACTGCCATGTTCGGCCGTTGAACTCTCCGGATTTCTTCAGGTGATATTTCTTTGAATTGGTTGAAAAGTGACTTGATCCAAAGGCTTTTGTGTTTAATACATGGCAACAGACAACTAAAACTGAGATATCCAAAGGTATGGCACGTGGAATTAGAAACATCTAGTCCCGTGGATTAAAGAAAGTGTTTGGTTTGTAATTCCAACAAATGTCAGCTGAAGAAGATCGGAGCGTAAAACGGCCGAAACGTCCTGAACATGTCAATAAAGATGAGGACAACAGTCTGAACGATATAAATATGGTAAATACGTAAATCCACGTTTGATGTGAGATCAATACTCTAAATCCCCTTCTGTTTCACCGTCCGTTATACCATTTCCAAGATGGTTAAATTCTTGGACTTGTTTTGATTATGACATGTCCAGTCCGTAGCTCGCATCACAGGTTAAAAATTTCCATAAGGCTAAGACAAATCCATTTATTAATATAAATAGTATAAATAGTTACAATACCCCATCTCAGGAATAATGACACATCCTGAAGAAGACCGGAGTGTACAACGGTCGAAACCTCGTGAATATGTCAATAAATATGAGGACAACAGAACTAGTTTTAATACGAAGATACGTTTGATGTGATACCAGTACTCCAAAGCACATTGGTGTTTCAGTGTGACATTTACCGCCGTCCGTTATAGCATTTCCAAGATGGTTAAATTCTTGGACTTGTTTTGATTATGACGCCTCCAGTCCGTAGCTTGAATCAAAGGCTGCCCATCCACCGTCCGAATAACGAGCATACATTCTCAGAAAGTTAGTATTTGCAAAAGAAAACAAGCACGATTGGCACAATGGTATCGCATTGGGATCGAAGCGGTTGTCTGTTTTGAGTTGTCACAGAAATTAAAAATTTCCATAAGGCTGAGATAAAGCCATTTTCTTATATGGACGAAGTAGACAGATTTGGTAACATAACATAAAAAAAGAAAAAAAATAGCAAAAAGCAAAACCCGGATGTGTAAATAAATATTCCATTCATGTAAACGACTTTTCTGGTCTCCTGTTTCTTCTACTATAACTGGAATGTGGAAATATTTAAAGAAGTCAATAAAGAAGACCGAAGTGTACAAGGTCCAAACGTGGTGAATATGGCAGTAAAGGTGAGGAAAACAGTCCGAGGTATGTAAATAGTGTAAATAGTTACAATACCTCATCTCAGAAATATAGACACATCCTGAAGAAGACCGGAGCGTATGTCAGTCCGAACTGGAATTTGGTAATATTTAAACGTTTTGCTTTTCAATAAATATATGTAATCATTTGTGTAATATGAGTTAGACACACATAGACATAAACACATATAACTTTACATTCGTTTGACATTTAAGCATTAATAGAAATAATAATAATAAAATAATAAAAATACAATAAAAATAAAATTGTAATAATAATAATAATAATAATAATAATAATAATAATAATAATGATACTCTTATCTGAGGTCAAGATCTTCTGTCCTTGCGCCAGATGAAGACAAAAATTATCGCGATAGAATGGGGCAATATTTACACTGGACAATGTGCAAAGACTTTGGAAAAGATGTTAACAAACACATCACTCAGCTTCGGTTACGGAAATAGAAGACATTACAGTTCTATGGAATTACGCCGTTTTTACAGACAGGAAGATTGGATCAAATAAGTCGGATATAACTGTGAAAAACTTAAAAGAAAAAAAAGCATACTAATTGATATGGTTTGCCAAGCGGACTGTAACATAGCAAGCAAGGAATTTGAAAATTAACGATTTCCATAAGACTGAGACAAATCCATCTAATGAGGAAAGACAGATTTGATAACATAACATAAAAAAGTAAAAAGATTACGAAAACAAAATCCGGATACGTAGATAAGTAATCCATACACGGAAGTGATTTTTCTGGTTTCCTGTTTGTTCTACCATAATTGGAATGTGGAAATTTTTAAAGAATTCAATTGACATGATGACAACTGTCTAACAGTGAAAATAGTTGCGATACCTTATCTCAGAAATATAGACGTGATGCTGAAGAAGAACAAAGCGTACAACGGTCGAAACGTCGTGAATGTGGCAATAAACATGAGGACAACAGTCCGAAGTATGTATATAGTGTAAATTGTTACAATACTTCATCTCAGAAAAATAGACACATCCTGAAGAAGAACAAAGCGTACAACGGTCGAAACATCATAAATATAGCAATAAACATGAGGACAACAGTCCGAAGTACGTAAATAGTGTAAATTGGTACAATACCTCATCTCAGAAATATAGACACATCCTGAAGAAGACCGGAGCGTACAACGATCGAAACTTCGTGACTATGACAATAAAGTTGAGCACGACTGTCCGAATAATGTAAATAGTGCAAACAGTTTGTTCTTAATCACCCCAATCTTCGCAAGGCTTTGAAAGCTCCTAAAATGGAAGGGGGTTACTCAGAGTAAAAAGAAAGCGAGAAAACAACAACAACAAGAAACAAAATAGAATTTACGAGGACAGAAAATTATGACTGATACGACACCTAAATTCATGACGATCGAAGTTGACCTGAAAGCAGAAAGCCAGAAGAGAGTTCCACTAGCAAGAACAGCGAAAGAAGTAACTATTAAAATAGAACTTACGGTTACGCATAGATAAATGATGAGACCTACCTGCCAATCGAGTACAGCGCTTAAATTCATGAAGTCGAGACACCACATAGGAAAGCTTATCGGGGCAATTAGCGTCAAAATATTTATAGTAAAATGGGAAAGTAACTGATTCCGATATGCCAGGTCAGGACAGATAATATCACAGATTCTTCTTTGGGATTTGTCGAGAATCTCTAGATATATAGCAGGAGCACCCCATGTGAGTGTCATATGCGACGCACAGACAAATGTTAGGTTTATAAATTTGTAAGATAGATTCTGGCGTGAAAAATTGTCTTGCATAACACAGTGAAGCTACTATCTTAACAATTGACGCAATATGATCTTTCCACTTCGTGTTAATGGAAAACGTGAAACTATGAAATTAACGAGGTGGAATAATTTCCTCTTCTGGAGGTTAGCATCAGCCATACTGATGGAATGAAAAATGTTTTTTAAGATAGCAGTTTCGTTTTGAAGACGTCAAAATTAACAGGAAATGCAAATGTGTACATAACGTTATGCTTAAGGTGCTCTAGTGGAATATTTACTGTACAAATGAGAGTTGATGTATTTTGTATGAATAGGGAGAGAGTATTTCACATTGTATCGGAGGATATTTGAATGAGAAAGATGAGTTCGCGAGTTCTTAGTTAAGAAATCCCTTCAAGAAAGAAATCGATATTTATCTTATTCGGCAGATTAACACCGTAGGAGACTGGGTTATTTCCAAAATTAAAAAAAAAAAAATGCTCTGATAGGAGATAGATTTGCAGACATCGAGCAACGCGTAAATATATTTCTTGAATAGCATTTTGAAAGACAAGTTCCAAGAAAGCTTCCAGCAATGCCACTATTATTTCGCAAAATACCTAACAAGCGAAATTTTTGAAGGTGATATCAGCCATACTGACCGGAGACAAGGTAAGCAAATTTTCTTTCACGTCTTAGTTATGACGATAAACTACATGCCGCTGACCCGGTGGTTTTGAAGAGCATGGAACCACCTCTTAATTCCTGTTGTTGCCAGGCCCCAGGGTGATTAGGATAACACCTATGAGCAAATAGTAAACCCCTAAAAATTGGGTTAAAACATGAAAATCTAAAAATGTATTATAAAAAAAAAACTTACCAGTTTTCATAGTAAAAATATAATAAAAAAAAAATAAAAAATTACCAGCAATAAATTATTGAGAAAAAAATATTACCAGCAATACGTTTTTGAAAAAAAAAAAAGAACAAAGGTCACGAGAAAATCAAATTTACGCAATAAATGACACATAAGGAGTTTCTATGCCATTAAAACACAAACCAAAGCAAATCAAATTTTTAATTCAAATACCCTCTTACCCGGCGTAGACGTTTATACACGTTTGTGCTGAAAGTTCCTTTTTTAAACACGGACGAATAAACACGTCGATAAACATAACGTTCTAAAACCAGCTACAGACGTGTTTATACGTCGATGTTGATTCATTTTATACCCTTTTGAGTCTACAACGAGTTCAGTTGACAACTCATACGTTTGGTAGAGGTGTTAGCCACCGCTCGGGTACTTCATGGTGCTTCAGTTTATTAGTCTTCCCAGATAATAAAAAAGTCATTTGAAAAATGAAACATATTTGCCAAAATAATTAACGGGGAAGGGGTTCAAATACCACTGTCTGCAATTCGCGATCGCATATATATATATATATATATAGCGTGGCCCGAAAGTTAGTTTTCTGTAATTTTTGAAAGGCAATTATATTTCATCCAAAACACAGTTGTTGGTTTTTAATGGAGTATGGCAATCCGACATTATCTCTTTTTCTTTTAAGTTATTTAGTGTGTAAACGTCTTTTAAAAATAGACCTTGTGTCACATTTCGTCCTGGAGGGGGCGGGGACAGAGTGAAAAACGTGTTTGAGTTGCTAGCTCTGTATTTTTTTTATTTTAAAGAGTGAAATTAATTTTTAGTTTCACTTTAAGATTCATGTGTTTTTATTAAATTTGTTATTTTTTTATGTCATATTTAATTAGTATTATTATATTTAAATTAACTCACACCCGATCTAAAATGGAATTGCAATATTTGACCAACGATAAAGATGCAGAGTCAGGTACTTGCTCCAGCAAGTCAGGCCCAAAATGGAGTAATGTTGCCATATTTGGGCAGGACCTGCCCAGACCACACTTTTCAGTTTTAACAGATTTCAAAAGAAAATACAAGCATAGTAAACTCATCCAGTTTAAAAAAGAATAACATGAAAAATAATGGAAGGCGTAATAATGAAAAAGAAAAAAAGCCTACACTCAATAACATTAACTATGAACACGGCCAGAAAGAACCAACATTATTTACGAGTTCAAATATTCCTTCGGGAACTGCGTTTCTGATCAAACCAAACTCGTAAATAATTACATCAGTCACTCCAATACATGCCTATCCAGACGACTTACGTCGCACTTGCCCGACAATATTTCCATTGGGACTCATTTAAACACATAGAAAACCTACCATACTCCATCCGAAATATACTAGTTGAAAATACAAGCATACTAACTTCATCCACTTGTAAAAAAAAAATGAAAAATAATGAAAGCCTTAATAGTAAAAAAGAAAAAGTCAACACGCAATAACATTAACTATGAACACGACCACAATGTGCTGACCGTGTTTGGGAAATAAAACATCCCAATAACTCTAAATGCATACGTAAACAACATATACATTCAGTTAAAAGTAAAATGAAATCATCCTTGATAACGGCTAAAAGTACAGCCGTAAGCGCTCGGACATGCAGGACTTTTGGAGAGTTCTTACCCACTTTAGGTCCAGAAAAGAAAACACTTGTACGAACACGAGAAAAATTAAATAAAAAATTCGATCGCAGTTCCTTGTTAGTCATCTATAAAAAAACAGACACACACGCGCGCACACACACACACACACATGCGCGCGCACACACACACACACACGTACACATACATGCACACACGCGCACACACACACGCGCACACACACGAACACACACATACGCACACACATACACACGCGCGCACAAACACATACACACATACACACACACGCAGACACAGACAGACACACACACACGCGTAAACACACGCACACACACACACACGCACACGCGCACACCAATATATGCGTGTATCTACTTATTGTTGTTCGTGTTTTAACTTTGTTTTTGTTTGTATTTCGGCTGTACTTTGCTTGATTAATTTATAATCTTCGTGCCAAATTCTACCGATTGGATTTCTTCTTGCACTCAGGTGACCTGTTTGGTAAGAGCGGATGTCAAAAGGTAAGGATACTTAATTTAGAAGCTTTTTAATGGTTGCTTGCGCATGCGTGAATGAATTCGTGTCACTCGGGCTGCATTTATATCTCTCTATCTGTATAACTATCTATCTTCAAACAACCACATATTTCTATGTTTCTAATAATATATATATATATATATATATATATATATATATATATATAGCTCTAAAAAATTGTATATATATATATATATATATATATATATATATATATATATATATATATATATATATATGTCGTTGTTTTATCTTTAAATATTTATAAATTTACTTTACACATGCCTGTGTTTGTGTATATATTTTTTGTATATGATTGCATTTAAAATTTTTCGCTTACATATATTTTTTATATATATATATATATATATATATATATATATATATATATATATATATATATGTGTGTGTGTGTGTGTGTAAAATTATATGTGTTCATTTCTATGTGTGTCTAACTCAAGTCACACAAATGTTTACATATATTTATTGAAAAAGCAAAACGTTTAAATATTACCAAATTCCAGTTTGGGCTGACGTACGCTCCGGTCTTCTTCAGGATGTGTCTATATTTCTTAGATGAGGTATTGTAACTATTTCCACTATTTACATACTTCGGACTGTTTTCCTCAACTTTATTGCCATATTCACGACGTTTCGACCCTTGTACACTCCGGTATTCTTCAGGATTTGCCATTATTCCTGAGATGAGATACTGTAACTATTTACACTATTTACATTATTTGGACGGTTGTCCTCATTCTTATTGCCATATTCACGACGTTTCGCCCGTTCTTTCGCACCTGTCTTCTTCAGGATCTGTCTATATTTCTGAGATGAGGTATAGCAACTATTTTCACTGTTTAGACTGTTGTCCTCATGTTTATTGACTTCTTTAAATATTTCCACATTCCAATTATGGTAGAAGAAACAGGAGACCAGAAAAGTCGTTTACATGAATGGAATATTTATTTACATATCCGGGTTTTGCTTTTTGCTATTTTTTTTTCTTTTTTTATGTTATGTTACCAAATCTGTCTACTTCGTCCATATAAGAAAATGGCTTTATCTCAGCCTTATGGAAATTTTTAATTTCTGTGACAACTCAAAACAGACAACTGCTTCGATTCCAATGCGATTACATTGCGCCAATCGTGCTTGTTTTCTTTTTCAAAGACTAACTTTCTGAGAATGTATGGTCGTTATTTGGACGGTGGACGGGCAACCTGTAATGCGAGCTAACCATCATGGAAATGCTATAACGGACGGCGCTTAATGTCCCACTGAATCATGAATGTGCTTTGGAGTACTGGTCTCACATGAAACGTATCTTCGTATTAACCCTAGTTCTGTTGTCCTCATATTTATTGAGATATTCACGACGTTTTGACCGTTGTACACTCCGGTCTTCTTCAGGATGTGTCATTATTCCTGAGATGGGGTATTGTAACTATTTATACTATTTACAATAAGAAATGGATTTGTCTTATCCTTATGGAAATTTTTAATTTCGGTGACAACACAAAAGAGACAACCGCTTCGACCCCAACACGATTACATTGCGCCAAACGTGTTTGTTGTTTTCTATATCTGTTGTCCTCATTTTATTGTCATATTCACGGCCGTTGTACGCTCAAGTTTTTTTTCAAGTGATATACGTTGGAATTTCGCATCGAACCCTTTCTTTTGTTTACAGGGTGAGATTGGTGCCACGTCTTTGCTCGATATCTCCGTTTCAGTTAATTCTATTTAGAAACCCAACCTTCCAAGTCTTTGTTCAACTCTGCTGTGGTCAGGTATTGAACAGAAAAAAGACAAACGCTTCGACCCTTCGATACCATTGCACCAAACGTGCTTGTTGTTTTCTATAACAAAGACGAAATATCGTAGAAGACCATCACATTTCTAAGAATGTATTGTGGTTAATGATGCGAAGCTACGGACCGGACACTTCATAAGCAAACAAATCCAAGAATTTAACCGTCTTGGAAATGGTATAACAGACGGCGGAATATGTCACACAGGAAAACGAATATGCTTTGGTGTAATTGACTTGATTTGACTTGTATCGGTTTTCACTCTGGTCGTGTTTAAACCGGCTTCCTCCCGAACAAGTACAGCATCACGGACCATCGCTGCCCACGCTCACCCATCCTTAGCCAGGTCACACGAAATGGCGAGCAAATCGCGATTCCATCGTCGAAGACTAACGACTTGTACTTTGGAGTACTGATCTCACATCAAACGTGGATGTTCTTATTTACCCTAGTTCAGACTAGTACTCATCTTCATTGACATATTTAGTATATTTCGACCGTTTTACGCTCCGGTCTTCTTCAGCTGACATTTGTTGGAATTACAAACGGAACGCTTTCTTTAATCTATGATGCTTGATGATTCCAATTCCACGTGCCATACCTCAGTTTATCTGTATATCTATCTCAGTTTTAGCTGTTCCCTCTGCCGTAGACAGGTATTGAACTCACAAGCCTTTGGATCAAGTCACTTTTCAACCAACGCTTTTATCCAACGGAGCATCTCACGTGGAATAAGTATCATCTACTCCCGTGGACTAAATAAAGGGTGAGGTTAGGTTAGAAGTCCCAATAAATATCAGCTGAAGAATGCGGGTGTGTGCAACTGCTAAAACGCCTTGAATATGGCAATAAAGATGAGGACAACAGTCCGAATAATGTAAATAGTGACATTTATTTGATTTTCTGCTGGGAAATTACCAGCACTTCTCGTTTGTGCGCATGGGGATTCGTACCAACATAACAAATTTAAAATATAATATCAATTATCGGGGAGGCGAGTTCGAATTCTAGTCGAATCCATTACATTCACTTAAAAGCTAATAGCCTTGGGAAACATATTAATCCTCCGCTTCCCCCTCCAGCTATCGGTAAATAGCAGGATAGACTGGGTTCTTTAGCCTAGCATGGCAAATAGCCTAGAAGAAGGACATGTCTGAATTCAAAACCTGCGGAGTGTCGTTTGGGGAGCTTGTGGTACATAGTGCACCAGGTCACTGTATACGGCCCTTCAAAAAAGGTGGCAGGTTCTGCACAAAGGCTTCACCACTATAATCGAATCATATGTGCTGGTGTCTGGCTGTTGATTCCTATGAACTGAACTACTTGACAACTCGAGAGTCCACCATATATATATATATATATATATATATATATATATATATATATATATATATATATGTAAGCAAATATATGGATATAGATCCGAGAGTGTGAAGAAAAATACAGAAAAAACAAACAAAAATCTGAATATGCAATTACGACTACGTGATCATATTTAAACGGAACGCTGATCTGTTTAAAATTTCAGTTATCTGTTTGGATTAGTTGGGCTCTTATGTCCATCGTCTTTTGTGTTAAATTTTTATAAGTTCTAATGTTAATTATGTTTAATGAAAATGTCCTGATGATGGTCTTAAATAGACCGAAACGTCCGACGTCGACTTTATATTAACATTAATACTACATAATTGCATATTCAGATTTTTGTTTGTTTTTTCTGTTTTTTTTCATATATATATATATATATATATATATATATATATATATATATATATATATATATATATATATATGAAACAATGTACTGCGATTAAGCTTTTATTCAGTTTTGTTTGAGTAGGTTCGTACACGTGTTTTGTTTATGGAAAGAAAGTGTGCAAAAACTGTCCAAATGTTCTAGATATCGTGTTCTTAAAATAAAATAAAATTATCCCCACCACTATAGACACATATATAAAAAATACACCTATTTGTTTAAAACACATCCATCGTAATGGTTAATTGATTAGCTGAAAGCGTTCATGTCAATTTCGAGAGGTTTTACACATTTAAGAAAAATCGAATAAAAACTTTAGTTAGGATCGAATATAAATTAAATATAAATCTCAATGCGACAGAAGATAATGAACAAATACGAAAGGATTATCAATCTATCAATCTATTCCTATTTGTTCTTTTAGCTCAATATATATATATATATATATATATATATATATATATATATATATATATATATGTATATATATATATATATATATATATATATATATATATATATATATATATATATATATATATATATATATGTTATCAAAATATTGCGATAGAAAATCTTATATTTTTATGTGACCTTAAAAACGTAGAACAACTGAATTAAAAATATATAAACATATATATATATATATATATATATATATATATATATATATATATATATATATATATATATATATATATATATAGAGAGAGAGAGCAATAGAGAGGGGAGGAATTGAGAAGGATAAAAAAAGAAAAGAAGACTTAGATAGATAGATAGATAGATAGATAGATAGATAGTGACAGAGTTTAAAAAATTATTTGGTACTAATTGTTTTTAACTTTAGGATATAATTAGTGGTTTTTTTACACTTTTGTAAATGATTGTATATATATATATATATATATATATATATATATATATATAGAGAGAGAGAGAGAGAGAGATAAACACATACATACATAAATGTATATGTGTATATAGAAAGAGATACTTAAATAGTAGATAGATATCAACAGATAATTATAGATAGATATCAATTGACAATGATAGATAGGTAGATAGATATGTACAAACGAAGATAGATAGATAACAAAAAAGTAGTTATCAGAGGGAGAGTGACAGAAAGATAAAGAGATAATGAGAGATACAAAGCCAATTAGATAGATAGATAGATAGATAGATAGATAGATAGATAGATAGATAGATAGATAACATTTTCCAACCGACTTGGTATGTGAGAGTTTGACATAAAACTGAATAGAAATTTAAAACATTAATGTAACGAATTTTACCAAGTGAACTGCTTTCTTTATTTTTTAAACTAAATTAGATTTTTTTTCATGTGATCATCACAGTGACAAAAATCATAGCTTACGTTTCGCCTGCCAGTCGTGACAGATCACGCACAGAAAAAGGAGACTTATGTCAGGAAAAGTAAATTACTTGACTGATTTAGATTCATCTCCGTGCGATCAAAAAATCTATTTGCTTAGAAGTCACTTAGCAGGTGAGAGAAGTGTGGGTACGCGAGGATTTTTTTAACAATTACCGGACATTTTCACAGCTTAACTGGTTACACAGAATTTACGCATTCTAAAATGTCGGTTTCCATATCTCTCGTTCGACTTAGCAACTAGAATCTGCTGATAGTGTCCGGTTTCTCGGTTTACACTTACATGTCGCCAACTTGCGAAAAGCTAAGATAGTGGACCATAACGCAGAGCAAGAAAGATCATCAGAAAAGAACAAGTAGAGAGTGACATGATACACTTTAAATGAATACACCACTAAATGTATTAAAAATGAATTGCGATATGCACATTGGAATCAAATACCGATTTTCAGGCACTGATAAAGATAACTAGAATAAAAGATAAATGAGAACGATGTGATCTATCTATCTATCTATCTATCTATCTATCTCTGTTCTAATATATATATATATATATATATATATATATATATATATATATATCTCAGCCTGTTCCAATCTATCTATCTATCTATCTATCTATCTATCTATCTATATATATATATATATATATATATGTATATATATAAAGTGAACATTGAAGTCAACACACAGAGGCGATAGGTTGTTTCATGCTAGGTGCAATATATATATATATATATATATATATATATATATATATATATATATATATATATATATATATATATATATATATATATATATATATATATATATATATATATATATATATATATATATATATATATATATATATTTATGGAACACCTGTATATATAGTGATTTTCCAAGCGTAGCTCAGATGTGACACAAGGCCGAAAGTATGGGGCACGTAGTGAGGATCAAAATCACTACCAGTCGTAAATATTCTAGCGAAACATGCTTGCTAAGCATTATATCACCTCTAGGTAATTTGAGATTTCTCATATATATATATATATATATGTATGTGTGTGTGTGTGTGTGTGTGTGTGTGTGTGTGTGTGTGTGTGTGTTATGGTGACCTATCTTCATTAGAATGAACTTTTCCTCCTTCATAAATACTAACCTGCGAGACTTCCTAAGCCGGGACGTTGTGTCACCTGACTGTTCGAACGGACATTACTAATAACACTCTTATTTTGTACATATGTTCTGTTATTTTAGTACACCTGTTCAACCTACCTTCTCCTTTCTGTGTCTTTTTTTTCTGTGTCTTTTTTTCTATGTCTTACCAGACCACAAAAATATATATATATATATATATATATATATATATATATATTAAAGACATTTTTATGTTTACATAAAAAAAAAATTTTAATAAATAAATTGTCGGACCTTGTCCATTTCTTTAATATATATATATATATATATATATATATATATATATATATATATATATATATATGTATGTATGTATGTATGTCTAAAGTGTATTTCTATAGCAATGCTTCTTTCAGATATGTTTCATTGCATAGAAATTTTGTAACTTAAATAAGGCGTATTTCAAAATATACTTCATTTAGATAATATGATCCTACAGTGAACAAGGATACTATCAAAACAAAATTTCGATTCAACCAAACATGTCGATGGGTTTCTCTGGTTTGTTTTGATTTACGGCATATTAAGATCAATGTGTTATTTAATGCCGACAAGATGTTTACTATAGATTCGTATTAATAGAATATATATTTGTTAGGAAACTGTTTGTAGATCCGTTTCATTGATATATTCTTGAAGAAAGGATTGTTGTTGAGAATCTGCCCAAACATGTTGAAAAAAGTATATATATATATATATATATATATATATATATATGTGTGTGTGTGTGTGTGTGTGTGTGTGTGTGTGTGTGTGTGTGTGTGTGTGTGTGTGTGTGTGCAGATATGTAGAAAAATAGGAAAGAACACGTTAGGTTAATAATCCGGGGTTCTTTAGTATTTTTGTTTTTATTTTTTAAAAACAGTGCTCAATACATAAGTAGAGCCTAAATTATAATTATTTTAAAAAAATACATTATTAAAGATAAAATGTTAACCCTTACGCCCCTTATTGAAATAATTGCTTCAGCCGTTTCCATAGTAATTAACATTACGACTGAATTTGCTTATAAAGCTGCGTAAATTTCAAGATTAGTTATTCCAAAAATTTCCTTGAGGCCTCTTCTGTTTGGAGCAATGTGGCACCGCCGTAGACGAAGGCTGAACTTTATGTGTTCCAATGCTTGCTAGGAGTTATGAGAGTCGTGATTTGGTCGACACGTTAGAAGGGATTCTATGGAGGTGAGAATTCACCTTTTCCCAACTGATCTTGTACTTTAGGCATCTGCTTAAAGTCAAGATTAGGACGGAAAGGCGGCGACTCTCTTCATCAGAATTCGGCAAAAGGTGGGTAAATCTTGCGCGACTGTGTAGAGTGAAAGGGGCTGACCTGGAGTGGCACTTGGATGTCGGTTAGGTACATTTTGTCCGAACAGGGTTGAACAGAGGCAACCTGCCCCGATATTAGGCTAGTTTAAGTTTTTTAGTTTGAATCTTTAGTTTCCCGTTTTCTGGTTAACTTAGCTAGAGTATGCATGCTCATTGGCCCCTTTTATTTCTGTCCCTATTTTTCTTTTTGTTTAATTCCCATCCCCTCCCTCGTTAGGTGGTCAGTGATGTCAGTTCTCTGGTTGTTGCGGGATGACTTTCGTTTCGTGTGTGTGTTTTCGTATTTGTTATTGTGTCTAAATGAGTGCGTACTTGTGGGCGTGTTTGTTTTTTATAATGTTATAATCCGCAATTATTTCGTCCAGTTAACTGATGTTTCTGCTACATTTAGGGATAGTGTTTTTTTTATTACTAACTCTTTTTTGTTTTGTTTTATGTAAATAGTATTAATTCATATTGTAAATAATCATTGTTTTTTTTTAAATTGTTGTTCCCTCCTCCACAGACTTAGAAATATACATATAGGGACTAGTTAGGATTTCATAGAGAATTTGAGGTATTATGGTGGACGTAGTAAGAAAGGTAGGAGTGAATGTGTTGTTTTGGTGATAGTACTATTGTTGGTATGTTTGCGTCCGTGTTTGTAACTAGCTAAATTTAGAATTAAGACAGAAGACCATCCTTCCCCAACCCCCTTTGTGGCCTTGTGCCACACTTTGTACATTAGTACGAATAAATAACTATTCCAAACATTTCGCTTGACGATGAAGCAGAGCTTGATAGATCAATTTAATTTTCATAATTACATTGAAGTTTTTAGCTCCTGTTTTTGAAACAGGCGAACTCTTATATAGCGATGGAATCATAATTAAAAAAATAAATATAGTACATATATATATATATATAAAGAGAGAGAGAGAGAGAGAGAGAGAGTTTAAGGTATGCCATATTTATGGGTTAAAGTGTTCAATATTAAAGATATTGCGTATGTAAATTGTTGTACACTTAAAGAGGTTACAAAAGGACACAGATGGTGCTCAAGTGAAAGGAACAACAACACGGGTGTAGATGGAAGAAATAGAGGTTTATTTTAAAAGAGAATACACTACCGAAAGATAGAGAATCAACTAACACTTCCCCAATCCAGTCACTGGTATGTCCTGTGCACACTACATATATTACTGATATAGTCAGTCCAAAATAGATCATAAATACAACATAAATAAAAAAGAAGTCACTGAAGTCAACACCTAGAGACGACAGCCACCTCTAGGTGTTGACTTCAACATCCACTTATATATATATGTGTGTGTGTGTGTATGTATTATAATTATTTAAAAAAAATAAAAATCTATCTTTCTCTGTGAATGAACAGACGATGCGCGTACAAGAAAGACATAATTCGCTTTGAAATAGACACCCCACTCTACCTCAGCTTGATCTCTCCCTGAAGGGGACTGATATGTGGGTAAAAATGGTCGCCCTAGGCGTTTCCATAGTAACGAATGAACACGCTTATAACGATACGTAAATTTCAAAACTGGTTATTCCTAAATTTTCGCTTGAGGATGAAACAGGGGTTGTTACTTTAATTCAATTTAATTTTAATAATTATATTGATAGTTTCGGCTCTCGTTTTTGAAAACATGAGAACTCATATATATATATATATATATATATATATATATATATATATATATATATGCTATTTACATTATCCTCAACTCTGTATACAATAATAATTCCGTCCATCAACCCATCCATCCTAAAAAGAATTACTACACGTATGCACAACCAAAGTTCCATTCTATGACCATAATGGCAATATTTACACCCAAACTAATGGTGTTAGTATGGGAAATCCACTCGGTCCATGCTTTTCCAACTCTTACATGTCCCACATAGAAAATACGATATTTACACAGGCCCGCAAACCGAAAATCTATGTTCGCTACGTAGACGATGTTTTTATTTTAGCTAATAATATTAAAGAAATAGAGACACTTAAGACTACTTTTGAGAAAAACTCCGTCCTTAACTTTACATATGAACTTAGCCAAAAAAAACAAACTTCCATTCTTCGATGTCCTCGTTGAATACAGCAATAACACTTTCATTGCATCATTACACAAAAAAAAAAACCACCAGCAAAAACTCGTGCCACCTTAACTTCAAAAGCGAATGTCCACTTAGGTACAAAGTAGCAGTAATAAAAAACTTTCTAAATAGAGCCCACCAGAACTCATCCTCTCGACTACTCTTTCTCAAAGAACTTAACAACGTTAAACAAACACTAATTAACAACGGTTTCCCTAACTACCTTATAGACCAACAAATTAGACTATTC